ATTTTATCTGGACCCTTAATCTGTTTATAACTTTCTAAGATCAAAACCTTATTTAGCTTTTTGCTGTTTATTTCAGATTCTTTAAATTCTAAATCTTATAATTGAAATTTCCTTTCATTCAGGATTAAAGGCAGACTCATCTGGCATTTTCAAACCTGTCATTCCAAAGCTCTCTAATGGCTTAGAAGTAGTTAATGAGCAATTTCCGAAAGTGATTAGAAAGTAAGGTTTGCAAACTCAGTGTCCTTTAAAAGTCTCTGCCACGGTTGCGAGCAAGACGGCTAACTCTGTCATCTCCTGGTGCTCAAACCTGTGGAAAATTGCTGTCTTGCAGTCTCCTTGTGGGCAGCAACTATCCAGAGCACATGTGGGTGATCTCTTACCCTCTCTTTATCTGGAGGGGTTGCAAGGTACCTGCCTACTCACCACTTCATTGGTCTTTGTAGCAGTTGTCTGCTCCGCTTTCACAGAGCTGTCTTCAGTTCACCGTACCTCCCTCAGAAGTCCGAAAATCATGTGGGAGTTTGTTCAACATAACAGAGTTCAGTCTAATATTTTGGGCAAACATTGTGTATGCACTTTTCGGTCCTTACGCTGCTTCTTACTCCTTTCTTTATGTCTCTGATTACCTTCCGGGGGGATAATATTGACTGGAATTGGTTGTCAGATATTGGCTTATGTTAGCCATATTTTCTAAAGCAGAGGTAGACATTCTTTTTGTACTGCAGACTTCTCACTTTCAAAACCCTTTTCTTGGCCATTGAGTGGCACATGGGGGTTGGCAGTAATTCAGTAGACTTTGCTGGGGATTGCCCACCTCTTCTCTAAAACTGTATAATTTATATTTTATACAAAAGAAGTCTTTAAAAGGATTAACTGGAGGTCTATTCTGAATATTAATTTTTACATTACTGTTCTCTGATGTATTCATAAAATGTGAAATATATAATTTATTATTTTAATTTTTCTCTAAGAATTTTTTGATAAATGTATTTTAAACAGGAACTAATTTTTTTTCAAAAAGACACCTTTAAATATTGAATTTTGTGAGTTTTCATAAAATCATTTTTCAGTATGAATTATGAAACTTTTTCTCATAATGTCTAGAGACCTACACTGAAATTTTAAGTCAGATTTTACAGGGAGCCAAGATTAATTTAGGATCCTAAGAATGGGAATTTATGATAAATGATTTGAGAAATCCCAGCAGTTACCACTTTGCTCTTAATATGAGTAAAATTTCATACATTTAACAAAACAAACTAATAGAATTGTTAGTACATCCATAAACTGAAAAAAAAATAAGAAATTAGTATAGATCTTTATTCAAATGTCAGATGGAATCTACTTTACCTCAGTTGTAAATACTACCACTTTCAATTCTTCCTAGTTACCTACTTCTTAAGGCTACAACATACAGTCTGGGTATAATTTTATTAAATAATTTGCTGCTTACTCTTGAGTACAAATGGATACCAAACATTTTAAAAAAAGGCGCTTGGGTCATGTGAATCATAGCTATATATAGGAAGGGCAGCAATAGCCCAACTTACTTCACAGGGTTGTTCTTGTGGAGGAGGGAGCACTATATATAATTGAGCTCCTAAAGTGAAAAGTGAGGTATAAACCAAATAAATATTACAATGATGATATGTCATCACTCAAATGCCATAATTTATATACTTGGATTGGATGGGATGCAAATATGTAATGGCAAGCTAGATGATGTTGTCACACACATGCTGTCATTTTGGCTTCGTTATGGTTTGCTACATATGCCACTTTCTCAAATATAATATTTAGTTTTAATTAAAATCACATGTAATTTTATAAAGTAGCTAAGACTGCT